CTTTTGTCTAAAGCACTACTGATTTACTTCTATATTTTGTCTTCCAGATTTAAGGTTTTGGGTTTTCTTGTGAGTTGATAGATTCAGCAATTAAAAAAAAATTTTTTGAGAGGTTTTTTTTTTTTTTTTTTGCTATAGGGTGCGTGCGCTCGCCAGACAGACAGAGACATAGAGACAGAAAGCGAGAAATCACCCCCCAGGGGGATGGTCATGGCTCAATCCCTTCTCCTCTATTCTCCTCTCGAGATCGTAGGCACGCACGCACACGCACCTGGCGTGAGTTTTAAGCCACCGGGTCCGGGACGTGAACCGCTGTCGACTACGTGGGAGTCCAGCGACATAGCCATTACGCTAACTGCTGGTTCCCAGCAATTTTTAAAATTTTTAAAAATTTAAACTTTTCTCCATTCCTGACCCCTTTGCAGATGGAAAATATTTGTGAGCATTCTTATTTTGTGGCAGAATGGTTGTTTGCATAAGTTCAATAATACAATAGTATCTGTTGCTTTGCATCAGAAATTGAATTCTTATGGGGTATTGTGCAAATAACAGACCAAATCAAGACTAACCTAATTTTTTTTTTTGCAAGTATGTTAGTGTATATCTCTCTTTAGTAAAAGGGGGAATGGAGAGAGAAAAAAAAATTTAGAAGAAAATTACAGTGCATTTGTCACTAGATTTTTAGCTTTGTCCATATTTTTAGTTTAAGGTCTTTTGTGAATCAGTAAAATGTGGAAAAAAAAGTTTAGTATGGAGTGGAAGGAGAAGGGAAAAAAGTAAAAGTATGTTTAATTGACAAAAAAATTAGAAGCTGTTTGGTGATGGTAATGTACATAGTAATATCTTTGTCTTAACTGATAATACATGGCATTTGTGCTGGAAAAAGAAATGTACCCTGTAAAAACAGATGTGATTAAATGTAAATTTTAAAAAAGATTAAAAAAAAAAAAACAGGAGCCTTCTATATGCTGCTTAGAAGAAACACACCTCACTGATAGAGACATACATGAAAGTGAAGACCTAGAAAAAGTAATTTCAAACAAACAGAAACCAAAAAAATGCTGGAGTCATAATACTGATATCAGACAAAATATACTTCCAGACAAAAATTGTAAAAAGAGACAAAGATACCATAAAGTACTAAAACAATTAAACAATTTATCAAGAAGATAAAACAATGATAAATATTTACCAGCCAACACCAGGGCACCCAAATATGTAAAAAAAAAAAAAAAGCTAGATCTAATGGGAGAGATTGACTGCAATGCACTAATTGTTGGAGATTTCAACAGCCCACTTTCACTACTGGATAAGTAATATAGACAGTAAATAAACAAAAAGACCCAAGAGCCAAATGATAACAAAAACCAAGTGGACCTCACAGACATTTATAGAACATTTCAACCAACTACCATAAAATACACTTTTTTCTCATCTCCACATGGAACATTTCCAAGGCTAAACCACATAATAGGGCACAAAACAGATCTTTACAAATTTTTATTTTACAAATTATCAGTAAGAAGTATAGAAACAATGTCCAGCATAATTGACAATGGAATTAAACTTGAAATCAACAACAGAAAGAGCCTTCAAAAGTTCACAAAAACATGGAAACTAGATGATCTACTCCTGAACAACTTCAAAACTACCAAAGAAATTAATGAAATAAAAAGATTTATTGAGGAGCTGGCAGGTGGCGTAGTGGTTAAGGTGCCAGAATCCCACATGGCTGACTGAGATATGAGTCTTGGATCTAGCGGCTTGCTTTCTTACTTTCCCTCTCTCTCTCTGTCTATTTTTAGTCAAATTAGAAGTAAAATAATAATAAGTAAAATCCAATAAATAATTCCTAAAAAAAATGATTTATTGAAACCAATGATATATAACACATGACTCTCCATAATCTTTGTGACATAACAAAAGCTGTCATTAAGAGGAAAGTTTATGGTGAGACCAGCAGTTGGCGTAATGGCTATGTTGCTGGACTCCTATGTAGACGACCGTGGTTCGAGTCCCAGACCCGGTGGCTTAAACGCACGCAGGGCATGTGTGTGTGCATGCCAAGATCCCGAGAGGAGAATAGAGGAGAAGGGATTGTGGCGGGGGGATCTCCCCTAAAGGGGACGGGGGTGATTTCTCGCTTTCTGTCTCTGTCTCTCTCTTTCTGGTGAGCGTACACATACTACAGCAAAAAACCCTTCAAAAAAAAATTATTGCAATTAATGCTCATAAGAAAAAAAAATAGAAAGGTGACTAAATAACTTAATGATGCAACTTAAGGAGCAGGAAAAACAACAAAGTGAGAAGAAAAGAAGTAATAAAGATTAGAGCTGAAATAGAGAATAAAATAATTACACAAAAACTCAACAAAATAAAAAGTCGATTTTTTGAGAGGATAAACAAATTTGACAAATCATTAGCTAGACTAACTAAGAAAAGCAGAGAAAGGAACCAGATAAATAAAATCAGGGGACCAGCAGTTAGCGTAATGGCTATGTCGCTGGACTCCCACGTAGTCGACCGCAGTTCGCGTCCTGGACTCAGTGGCTTAAAACTCACGCCGGGCACGTGTGTGTGTGTGCCCAAGATCCCGAGAGGAGAACGGAAGAGAAGGGATTGCGGTGTGGCCATCCGCCCTGGGAGTGATTTCTCGCTTTCTGTCTCTCTGTCTCTGTCTGTCTGTCTGGCGAGCGCACGCACCCTATAGCGAAAAAAACCTCTCCAAAAAAAAAATAATAATAATAAATAAATAAATAAATAAAATAAAATCAGTAACAAAACAGGCAATATTACAACAGAGAAAATAGAAATGCAAAAAATCATGAGAGAATTTTAAGAGTGACTATGTGCTAACAAGTAAGAAAACCTAAATAACATGGACAAATTTTTGGACACATAAAATTTGTCTAGATTGAACCAGGAAGAAACAAAAAGACTGAATAGCCCAATAACAAGCTTTGAGACTGCATCAGTAATAAATAATCTCCCAAAAAGGAAAAGCCCAGGTCTCAATGGCTTCACTTCTGAATTCTACAAAACCATTAAAGAATAACCCCAGTTCTCTTCAGACTATTTCTAAAGATCCAAAAGGAAGGGCCCCTTCCAAACTCATTTTATGAAGATTCCATCACCTTGATATCAAAAAGCAGACAAGACATAATAAAAACATAAAATAATATGAAACTGCCGACCAATATCCCTGATGAATACAAATGCAAAAATCCTCAATATAGTAGAAAATTGAACCCAACAGCACACTAAAAGGTTTTATACCATGACCATATAGTCTTTATTCCAGTGATAAAGGCTAGGTCCACATATGCAAAACAATAAATATAATACGTTATATACAAAAGGAAAGATAAAAACTATATAATCATATTAACTGATGCAGAAAGACATTTGTTATCAAATACAACATTTCCTTCATGATTAATACTTTCAGCAAAATAGGTTAAGAAGGTACATTTCTCAAAAAAGAAATAAATATATGGTAAACCCATAGCTAGCAGCATACTGAATGGTGAAAGGCTGGAAGCTTTCCTATCAAAAAAAGGAACAAGAGAAAAATAGGAAAAGAAGCCACCAGTTGGGGAGTTGGTAGGTGGCATGGTAGTTAGGGGCACTGGAATCCCACATGGCTGACCCCAGTTTGAGTTCTGGACCTGGCGGCTTGCTTTCTTTCTCTCGCTGTCTCTCTCTGGTCAAAATAAAAGAAACAGGAGGAAGGAAGGAAGATGAGAGAAAGAAAAAGAGAAAAAGGTTAAAATAATTCTTAAAAAATAAAGAAGGGGTCAGTAGGTAGCAGTGGGATGGTGGTTAAGGCACTGGACTCCCACATAGTCAACTGTGGTTTGAGTCCCAGACCTGGCAGTTTGCTTTCTCATTTTCCCTCTCACTCTCTGTCTCTCTGGTGAGCACTGGGCCCAATACCAAATTAAAATAATAAATAATAGTGATAATAAGTAAAATTAAACAATTACCTCTCTCTTTTTTTTAAGAAAACAGTTGTTCTATTTTTTAAAAAACATTTATTGGGGCCGGCCAGCGGCCTAGTGGTAAAATTGTTAGTCTTCCACATGGCTGACTGTGGTTCGAATCCCAGATCTAGTGGCTTGAAAATCACACCAGGCGCATGTGCCAGGAGGACAATGGAGGAGAAGGGATTGTGGTGTGGCTATTCACCTAGGAGGTGATTTCTCACTTTCCCTCTCACTGTCTTTCTCTGGCTCTCTATGTCAAGTCCATGTGCCCTGTGGAAAAAAATCTTTACAAATTTTTTATTTATTCATCTATTTATTTGTTGTAATTTTGGGAACTCTGCTTCCTGGACTCAAACCATGGTTGGCTTTGTGGGAGTCCAGTGCCTCAACCAGCATGCCACCTGTTGGCCCAATAAATAACTCTAAAAAATAAATAAACAAAATAAGAAAAGAAGTGAAATTTTTTCTATTCACAGATGACAGGATTATAAACATATGAAACCCAAAACAATACATGGAAGACCCTTAGACGTGATAAATGAATCAGTAAAGTGACAGGATATACAAAAATCCATAGCATTATTATACACCAACAATGAACAGACTGAGCAGAACTGAATTAAACAATCCTACCAAAATTATTAATATATATATTAATATATACTATATACTATATATATAACACTATATATAGTATATTTTATGTATATATAGTATATACTATATATATATTATATTATATTATATTATATTATATATATATATATATATAGAGAGAGAGAGAGAGAGAGACCTGGGAATAAACCAGAGGTGGAAGACTTCTACAAGAGAAAATAGGAAAAACTGAAAAAAGAAATTGAGTACAATATAAAAAAATGGAAAGACATCTCTTGCTCTTGGATAGGAAGAATCAATATAACCAAAATGTCAATTCTACCCAAGTTAATTTACAAATTCAATGTGATTCCGATCAAATTACCATGACGTTCTTCACAGAAATAGAAGATCTCATACCTGCTCCCCTCCGTGACTCCTGTATATATGTGTGCATAAACTGAAGACCAAATAATTCCCGTTCTTCCTCTTCATCTATGTTTTCAATGGGAGGAAGTACTACTTCCAACTTCAGTGGGTTGTCTCTGAAGTTGACAAACCTAGCAGTTCACCAAAAAATACTATTTTTATGGGTTCCTTACCTAGACATACACATTTATTTTCTTGGAGAAAGACAAACTAATTCACTAAATTCCTTCTTTTTAACCGGTTTCATAACTGAACATTTTGGTGATATGTCATATATCCCAAGAATCTTTTAAGTATCATTCTTGGAAGTAAAAAATATTAGCTTCAGACAACTGTTTTCCAAACCATGTAAAGTCAGCTGTAAGCCCATAGCATATATCTAATATGAAACAATTTAACTTCTAAGAGCACTTTCAAAGCATATTAAAATACAATTAATGCAATGCTATAAACTTATTTTCTGCATATTTTATAGAGTTGAGTCTTGTTTATCATTGTATATTCATTATTACAATGTCAGTAGTTGCTGAATAAGGGAATTAATTAATTAATTAATTAATTTGTTGTGGATGTTTTAGGTTTTGAGTGTGTATCATCTTATTCTTGCTGTCAGGAAATTAAATTTTGGAAAGAAAATACTTAAGGGAGTCCTGATAGTAGTTAGTAAAAATTTGCATCTGCTTTCTATTGATAATAATTACTTGTGTCCACTTGAGTTGTTTAAGAGGAAAACAATCACTTTTTATGCTTTTGGTTTTTTTAATCACAAATGAGATAAGTTAGCAGTATAAAGATAAGTTTCATGAAAATGTCACCAAAGAGGAAGCTAATAAATCCCATGACTGCTTTGGTTTCCAGGATTATTTCTTGAATAATTTAGACTAGTATTATATGAATCCTATTCATCAAATTATAGAATTTCAACATTAGACAAAATTTTAATATATTCATTTTATAAATAAGAACCCATGATCTCCACATTACTTTGTTTTGTGGCCAGACAGGAATGTGTCAGTTTGTGTCTGTAGATTAATACCTCAAATTTGCCATTTCTTCCATGCATACTGGTATATCTTGCAATTTATTGTTGCTGAGAACGAGAGTACCCAAATTTTTCATATTGCTGATTGTTTCTGGCAAGCATGTTATTTCATTCCGTTGTAGCCATAATGTATGTAAACTTTGCATTCTGAATAATTAAAAAAGATATCTGCAATTAACCACATATAATATGAAAACCCTGGTTCTTCTTATATTAAAAATAAAAGAAATGTCCTCTTTTACATCTCCTTTAACCAGAGTGCTTATGAGTCAACTGACTGTTTCCTGATGATTAGGGGAACTACATCAGGGAGTTGATCTCTGGTATAGCACTCATATCATGTGACGGTATAAATTAAACCCACATATTCTAGAAATCTCTATTCTCATAGAATTTCTTAAAGAAAAACCATTATAAATTTTATCTGAGTTCAAGTCCTAAGAGAAGAATAACAAATTATTAATATACCATTTACAGCAAGACAGTATGCTTAGTTATTAACAGCATAAATTCCAGGAGCAGGCTGGCTAAGTAAAAATCCTAGCTTGCCCACCTGCTAATTGTAGTCTTGGCCAATCTAGCTAACATCTCTGTGGTTTAGTTTCCTCATCTGTAAATAGCATAGAAGTGCTTGGCATGTATTAAGCAATGTAGTTATTGTTATGGCATATTCGTATTAATTTTTTTGGAGTCACATAGCCAGTTTTTCTCTCCCAAAATCCTTTTACTTATTTGGAGTAAATAAAAATATTCTGAGGCCAGCCAGCAGAACAGTGGCCAACAGCTGAATACCACATGTCCGACCATACGCTTTGAGTCCCAGACCCAGCAGCTTGAAACATGCCAAGCATGCAACGTGTGTGCCCAAAATCCGAAGAGGAGAATTGAGAAGGGACAGGGGCATGGCCACCCTCCCCCCAAAGGGGTTTTCTCTTTCTCTCTCTTTAGTGAGCACGAACATCCTATAGCAAAACTAAAAAAAATAGAAATTCTATTAAAACATAGTACACTTCTGGGACCAGCAGGTGGCATGATGGTTAAGGCACTGGACACTCCCACATGGCTGACCAGGGTTCGAGTCCTGAATCTGGTGGCTTGCTTTCTCACTTCCTCTCTCTTTCACTCTCACTCTCTGTGTCTCTCTGGTCAAATTAAAAAATAAATGAATGAATAAATAAAAATAAAATAAATAATTATTAAAAACAATTAAAAAAAAACATAGTACACTTCTTTTTTTTTTTTTTTAAGTTTACCTGTAAGGAGTGTGCACTCACCAGAGAGAGACAGAGAGAGAGAAAGAGAGAGGAAAACTTGAGAAATCACTACCCCCTCCCCCCCACCTGGGGTGAGGGCCACATCATAGTCCCTTCTCCATTGTCCTCTTGGGATTTTGGGCACACATGCACACATGCCCAGCATGTTTTTCAAGCCACAGGTCTAGGACTCAAACTGCTCAATCAGCCATGTCTGAACCTCCATGCCACCTGCTGACTCAAAACTTAGTATGTTTCTAACTAAATGGGTCTCTTGTGATTGATTCTGCCTGGAGTCTCCTTCAGATTGTTTGGTTTGTTATTTCTTATTTTTCTTAGGTGACTTCATGTTGTTCATTGGTAGCATACATAATCATACATTTTACCTTTCTATAGCATCAGGAAGTTGTTCGAGTCTGTTGCTTCCCATGTCCAGCCACTCAAGGGCAGGCATGTTCAACACAGCAGGAGGGATTGTTGTAAAGTGGTTCATGCTCAAATCAAGGTGAGTAAGTTTTAATAGATTGCTAAGCTGGAGAGGAAAGCAAGGTTTTTCAAAATAAACGTACACAATGTAAACTACTAGAAGATGTACATTGGTAAAAGAGATATTTTTTTAAGAATTATTTATTTGTTTAATTCCATTTGTTCTTCTTATTATTATTTATTTGACCAAAGAGAGAGAGAGAGAAAGGGAAAGTGAGAAAGCATACTGCCAGACGTGGGATGTGAACCATTGTTGGTCCAGCACCTTAACTACCATGCCACCTGCTGGTCCTGGAGATATTTCACATCAAAGAATGTTCACATTTAAAAAAAAAATGTTCACATTTTACTTGGACTTTATTTAACCATAATAGTCTATAGCAAATTAGAAATAAAAATAAAGCTACATAACCTCTAGTGAAATGAAAGACTCTTTAACTGAAAGTTCATCTTGTGTCCGCCAGTCCCATAGCCAAGTGAATTAAGGGAGCCAGATCCCACATGACCTTTTGAACCTTGGCCCTGACAGTTTGAAAAATACTCTGGATGCTTGTGCATGTGTGTCACAAATCACAACAGGATGAAGAAATGGAAAAGAAGGGATTGCAATGTCTCCATGTCCCACTGGGAGGTGCTCTCTTCTCTCTCTTTGACTTTCTGTCTTTCTCTGGTGAATATATATGCCCTTTGGCAATGAAAATTTAAAAAGAATTCATACACTTCACTTCTGTCTCAAAAACTAATCAGTCTATAGAAACCAACAAGTAAACAAGAGTTTTTCTATAACCACATTGTCTACACTTTATTATAATCATTTATTTATTCATAAAGCATTTATTAACTAATCACTACAACCTCAGTTTTACACTCAATTCTAATATAAAATGAAACTTTACTCTGGCCTTTTGAGATCATTGTCTAATCAACAAATGATGTCAGGAGGCCAGCAGGTGGCATAGTGGTTAGGGTGCTGGACTCCTACATGGCTGACCACATTTCAAGGCCTGGGCCCAGAGGCTTAAAACTCATACTGGGTATATGTGCATGCATGCCCAAAAATCCTGAGAGGAGAATGGAGGAGAAGGGATTGTGGCGTGGCCATCACCCGTGGGGAGTGATTTCTCACTTTCTGTCTCTCTATGTCTCTTCAGGGAGCCCATGCACTGTATAGCAAAAGTTTCTTTCTCTCAAAAAAATGTCAGAATACTGTGACAATAACAAAAGTATCTTTTATGCTAAACGAATCTCTTTTTCTAATTAAAAACCTGTGTTATAGGCAATGTTTTTCGCTTTTTTTTCTAAAATAAAATTCATAGCATCCTCATTAGTTTTATTTTTAGCAATCACACAATTGAGAAATAAACTACTGGTAGATAGAAAATGAAATCACAGAGGAAAATTAAATCATAGGCATTTATCTTGTTCTCACCTCTTGTGGAAGGTCACATATATCTCTGTTAACAGCCAGTTCTAGTTTTTCCAAACTGGCACAGTTACTTAGTTCTTTGGGGACAGTCTTGATTTTGTTGTAGCTAAGAATAAGTTCCTGAAGTCTGGTGAGTAGTCCTATTGAAAAAATGAACAAATAGAGTGGATGCGTACAAAATAATGTTCCAATTACCAAGTTTTACAATATAACTTACTTGCCAATTTTGTATTGGCAAATTCAGAGTTCTTATTCCTTCCTTCAAACAATGAACAGGTTTATCAGTGTTATAGGCAAAAAAAAGGCGGGGGGAAAGGAAATTATTTTCATTTCTGTTTTACCTATGCTCTATCTTGAGTCTTTTTTCATTTGGGGATCTTCTCCCCATTTAAGGAATCTCTGTATTTCTTTCTTGCCTTCAATCTGTTCTCTTCTGAGAGGAATAACTAGAACAAAAGTACTATTCTCAGAACCTACAGAGTAATATTTCTAAAGAGACTTTTCTCACCTTGGAATCCCATCTTGAATCACCTCAGTAAATCCAGAAATTTGGATCCCCTAGAATCTCAATTTAGATGAAATGTTTAGGATTTTCTCAAGACTCAGGGAAATATAAATGTGAGAACTTTATTTCATGTGTCAGAAACGTCTCAATAAAAAGCACATCTGCAGTTGGATAAAATAGCGTAAGAATAAAAGCAATGTCTCTTACCAATTCCTCGAGGTATTTCTGAGATTGTGTTTCTTGATAAATCTAACACAATGAGGCTCTGGAATCTTCCAATGAATTCAGGAATTTTCAGCAAACCAGTCCTATGAAGTTGCCATTCCTGAAGCTGATTTAATTTCAGTAGAGAAGAAGGAAGAGTCTAAACTCCAGTAGAAGGAATAACAGAATTGAAAGAGAAAGGAAGGAAGGAAGGAAGGAAGGAAGGAAGGAAGGAAGGAAGGAAGGAAGGAAGGAAGGAAGGAAGGAAAGAAGGAAGGAAGGAAGGAGAAAGAAAAGAATCACTATATTAAATTATTTTTATATCATGCCACACTGAAGTATGACATTATTTAATTTGGAATAATTTGTCCTTAATTGGTTACCTTCCCAAGTACTTTATGTTACTTCTAACTTAAAAAAACTATTTAGGAGAGAGATTGATTTTCATTTTTTATTTACTTTGTCTTTTTGCTATAGAGCACATGCACTCACTGGAGCCAGAGAAAGAGAGAGAAGGAAGTTGAGAAATCATCCCCCAGGGTATGGCCATACTACTACAATCCCTTCTCTTCCATTTTCCTCTGGAATTTGGAGCATACATTCATGCCCAGTATGATTTTCAAGCCCCTGGGTATGGGACCCAAACAATGAAGTCGGCCATGTGGGATCCAGCTGCATGAACCACCATACCGCCCACTGGCCCAGAGATTGATATTTTAAAAGTTTATGGACTTCTTTCTTCCAGGAGTGAGAGAGGGAAGAAAGAAAGAAAGAAAGAAAGAAAGAAAGAAAGAAAGAAAGAAAGAAAGAAAGAAAGAAAGAAAGAAAGAAAGAAAGTGTTTTCATTCTGTTTTATCTATGTTGTATCTTGAGACCACACCCCAACAGGGTCCATACACTGCAATCCACCCCCAGCCTCAGCCAGCCTGGATCCTGGGGCAGGTGCATGTCTGGCACTCAGAAGATCTCAAGTTTTGAGACCTTTACACACTCTCACACACACTCTCTCTCTCTCTCTCTCTTTTAAAAGTGTGTCCTAAAAATTCTGTTTTATTAGGCTTTCCTAGAGTACATATGCTATTGAAAATACGAATATCCAAAAAAGTCACTTAAACCAACAGTTCGAACTTAAAGTCAAGCTTTGAAGTATTTTAGAGTTTTAAAGAGGATTTCTTAAATTTAAGTATTTGGGACCAGCCGTTGGCGTAATGGCTATGTTGCTGGACTCCCATGTAGTCGATTGTGGTTTGAGTCCCAGACCTGGAGGCTTAAACTCACGCCGGGTTTGTGTACGTGCGTGCCCAAGATCCTGAAGGAAAATGGAGGAGAAGGGGTTGCAGCGTGGCCATCCTTCCTGAGGGGTGATTTCTTGCTCTCCATTTCTCTGTTTCTCTCTGTCTTTCTGGTGAACACACGTGCCCTATAGAAAAAACCTCTCCAAAAAAAAAAAAAAAAGTATTTTAAGAGTTTCAACTATTTTGAATTTCATCCATTTTTCCTTTCTAACTAAAATAGCCAGAAGAGACTATAATGGAACTAATCAGTATGTATATGTCTATGTCTATATACATGAAAAAAATCACTGGGCAAATGGTTAGAAGAACCTCGTAAAACCTAAAGTATGGCAAATAAAACTAAGCGAAGCTTATGTTTATGTGTGTGTATGTGTACATGTGTATGTGAGAGAGGTAGACTATGAATCAGGTGGTAAACCAAAAAAAAAAAAAATTAACATCCATTTCTGTTTTGCAAAATGTTAGCTGAGCAGGCCAGCCGGTGGTGTGGTGGTGAAGGTGGTATTCTATTCTAGCCAACTTGACAGTCTGAATCCCAGACCTGGCGTCTTAAAAAACACAATGGGCACATCAGCATGCATGCCCAAAATCCCAAGAGGAGAACAGAGGAGAAGGGATTCCAGCGTGGCCATCTCCCTTTGGGGGGGGGTTTCTCACTTTCTCTCTCTCTCTCTCTCTCTCTCTCTCTGGAGAGCACATGTACCCTACAGCAAACTAAAAGTATAAAACAAAACAAACAAGAAATAAAAGCGTTAGCTGAGCATTTCTTTAGAAAAACTGTATCATAGGGCTGGCAGGTGGTGTGGTGATTAAAGGCAGTGGATTCCGACATGGCCGACCATGGTTTGAATCCTGAACCTGTGACTTGCTTTCTCACTTTCCCTTTCTCCTTCTGTCTGTCTCTCTCTGGTCAAATTTAAAAATAATACTAACAAATGAAAGTAGTTATATAAATAATTACTTTTTAAAAAGAAAAGCTGTATCATTGTTTTAGGCAGATGGAAATCTTTTTTATGGAAAAATGAGAAATTACTTATTAGAAGGATTAGTAGGAGAAATATCACAAATGAGTCAGGTTTAGGCAGGATTGAAGCAAACTGATTGAATTTTTGAAAAAAAATTGGGAAGGTATGTATCTTTTCAGTTGTTCATGTTACCCAAATACACTTGGTGTATTACTAGCACTCGAATTTCTAAGTATTCTAGTCTTAATTACTCAATCTCAGAATTGTTTTCTCAACTGCCCCATAAAATGCAAAACGTGGAAAATCAAATGTTATTTCTATTAAGCTTACCTTCCATTCCTCTTTTTCAATCTTCAAAATGACTCTTCCATCTTCCCTAATGACCTTTTCTTTTAGCTTTGTTAAACTTACTCGTTCTTCCCAGATCCGCACTAACCTGGGAGACCAGGAAATCATTTGAGTTCATAGATAATGACATACATAGCATTCACTTTTACATATACATTTCTAAAAATCACCAGCTCCATGGCCTGGTGGTAAAGGTGGCTGGCTTCCACATGGTCAGCCATGTGCTTTGAGTCCCAGCCCCACACATGTGTGATTGTGTCCCCAAAATCCTAAAAGGAAGGAGAACTGTAGGAGAAGGGGTTGCAATGTGACCATTCCCCATGGGCAGCACTTTCTTCCCAGTCTCTCTCACTGGGTAGCACACACACTCTTTAACAAAAAAAGAAAAAAAAAATAACCCGTGATAAACCACTGTTTGACCAGACCATTTATTTTGTAATCATTATAAATATGACTAGTACCACAAATGCCCTATTTTAAGTTTCTGAAGAATATCATAGCTCTTCATAGATTTTTAAAAATAATATCTTTATTGAGATATAGTTCACACATCATGAAATTATTTTTTTTATGAGAGATTTTTGCTATAGAGTACATGTGCTCACCAGAGAGACGGAAAGCTAGAAATTACCCCATGCGACAATCCCTTTTCCTCCATTCTCCTCTCAAGATCTAGGGTAAGCATGCACATACAGCTGGCATGAGTTTTAAGCCACTGGGCCCGGGACTCTAACTGCAGTCCACTACATGGGAGTCCAGTGACATAACCATTGAGCCATCTGCTGGTCTTGTGAATTTCTTTCTTTTTTTTTTTGAAAGGTTTTTGCTCTAGGGCACATGTGCTTGCCAGAAAGGTAGAGAGAGAGAGAGAGAGAGATAGAAAGCGAGAAATCACCCCCCAGAGGGGATGGCCACACTGCAATCCCTTCTCCTCCATTCTCCTCTCGGGATCTTGGGCACGCATACACATGCGCCTGGTGTGAATTTTAAGCCACCAGGTCTGGGACTTGAACCATGGTCATCTACATAGGAGTCAAGCGACATACCCCTTACATGCTAGTCCCATATTTCTTATTTTAAAAAAAATTATTATTTTATTTAACTTTACTTATTTATTTATTTATTTATTTTTATTTGACCAGAGAAGGACAAAGCAAGAGAGAGCGTGAGAGCGTAAGAGCAAGAGTGAGAGCAAGAGAGAGAGGAAAAGTGAGAAAGCCACTAGGTCTGAGATTCAAACCGCAGTTAGCCATATGGGAGTCCATCATCCTTAACTATCATGCCACCTCCTGGCCCCAAATTTCTTCTTTTTAGGAAATAAAAAAGTATTGCTCAACAGCACATGCACTCACCAGAAAGAGACAGAGGCAGACTCATGAGGGATGGCCATGCTGCAATCCCTTCTCCATTTCTCCCTCCTTTTGGGACTTTGGGCACCCCCCCCAACACACACACACACACACACACACACACCCTGCATGTTTTCTTCCAGATGCCTGGTCCTGGACTCACACAGTGCAATTGGCCCTTTGGAATCCAGCTACCTTAGCCACCATGCTACTGGCTGGCCCATAAAATTCTTTTAAAGGATATAATTCACTGGTCTTTGACATATTCACAGAGCTGCATCTATCACCATTATCTAATTTTAAAGCATTTTGTCATTCAATAAAGAAACTCCATACCCATTAATAGTCACTCCACATTTCCCCCTTCCCTGCCCCTGGCAACGATTTTGTCTTCATGGATTTATTTATTCTGGACATTTCATATAAATGATGTAATGCAAGATGTGGTCTATGGTGTCTAACTTCTTTCACTTTGCATAGTTTTATTCAAAGTTCATCCATACCATAGCATGAGCCACTATTTCATTCCTCTTAATGACAGAATAATTCCACTGTATGAATCAACTTCATTTTGTTTATCCATTTATTAGTCAATGACATTTGGGTTAAGTTCACTTTGGCCACTATGAATAATGTAGTATGAACATTTGTGTGCAAGTGTTTGTGTGAACACATTTTCATTCCTCTTCGTATATTCCTAGAAGGGAAATCTCTGGGTCATAAGGAAACTCTATGTTTAACTTCTTTAGGAATTGCCAAACTGTTCCAAATTGGCCACACCACTTTATGTTCCCACCAGCAGTGTATCGGGGTCCCATTTCTCCATTTCCAAACCCATATTTGCTATTGCCTAATTTTTACTATACCCATTCGGTGGGTGTGAACATTATCTCATTATAAGTTTGATTTGCATTTTTCTGGTGAGTAATTCAAAGGTATTTAATAAGTTTTTATGGTTTGCAAACAGCGTAGTTCAACTTCAGAGGTAAGTTGCCTATTACTACTGCATGCTGATTTTATCTTGATACCATTTTTCAGATATAAAAATGTATAAACTCTTTGCCGTTCCAGAATATCCCTACTGATTTTTAATTAACTGAAAATATATGTAAGAATAGTATTAGACTAGGGGCCAGCAGGTGGTGTGGTGATTAAAGGTGCTGGATTCCCATATAGCTGACCACGATTCGAGTCCTGGGCCTGGCAGCTTGTTTTCTCACTTTCCCTTTCTCTCTGTCTTTGGTCAAATTAAAAAAAATAATAATAACAAATGGAGGGACCAGCAGATGGCCTAGTGGCTACATTGCTGGACTCCCATGTAGCTGACCACAGTTTGAGTCCTGGGCCCAGTGGCTTAAACTCACACAGGGCGCATGTGCATGTATGCCCAAGATCCCGAGAGGAGAATGGAGGAGAAGGGATTGCAGCATGGCCATCCCCTCACTTTCTGTCTCTCTGTCTCTCTTTGTCTTTCTGGCGAGCACATGCTCCCTATAGCAAAAACCTCTCAAAAAAATAAAAATATAATAGTAACAAACAGAATTTAATAAATAATTCTTTTTTAAAAAAGAATAATATCAGATTATAAAAAAGACTAGCTAAAGCTTGCAAAAATTTTCTATTTCTATCCTAGAAAACTTTTTATGTTCGATAAAGAGAGAATGAATTTAGAATTGAAAGTTTCGCAATTTTAACCTATTAGAATGGATTACAAAATACATACATAATAAGAAAATATAGGCAGTTATCAAATAATAAAGTTTAAGTAATTCAAATATTTATTTGTCAAAAATCTCCTGACATCTGAAAGTAAATATATAGTCATAGCAGTTTTGCATATTTACTGATTGTCATCAAAGATTTTATCTTAATGAAGAGAAAACCAAAAGAATATGAAAGCATAACATTTGCTGTTGTGTATTTGGGTTTGCAAAATATTTAAAATCTGTGTATTTTAATCTGTCACCTGAAATGTAACTAATGTACCAATAAGTGAATTGTGGAATTAGACCTTCTAATATAGCCTTCTGATGTGAACAGGCAAAGTTCCCATGGGCATGGTTAACTGAGACTCTATGTATAATGGCAGCTATTTGATATATCACTTTATAAAAAGACTGTTCAAACAATAGGCATTGGTTATTACTCACTAAAAAAATTCAGAACATAATCTAACAAAAATTACAGTTAAGTATTTTATTCCCTGACTTTTTTTTTTGGAGAGGTTTTTGCTATAGGGCGTGTACTCTCGCCAAACAGAGAGCAGAGAGAGAGAAAGCAAGAAATCACTCCCTAGGGGGGATGGCCATGCCGCAACCCCTTCTCCTCCATTCTCCTCTTGGGATCTTGTGCACGCATGCACATGCGCCCGGCGTGAGTTTTAAACCACTGTGTCCGGGAGTCCAGCGACATAGCCATTACGCTAACTACTGGTCCCTTATTCCTTGACTTTTAACTTCATTTGTCAAGCGCCCACTAAATACCAAAAACTATACGAACTAGACATTGGGGGTAAAAACAAAACAAAACAAAACAAAACAAAACAAAAAACTCTGTGATGGCCAGCAGTGGTGACACAGGGGTAATGCAATGTCTCATGATCCGATGGTGACACTGACGTAAGCAGGTCCTGGATTTGCATACTGATGTCTCCTGGTACACACCAGGCACACACAGCATAGTTCAAGTGCCAGACCCAGTGGCTTGAAAAACAAGCTGGATGCATGTACTTGTGTGCCTAAAATTCCAGAGGAAAATGGAAAATGGATTGTAGCATGGCCATCCCTCATGAGGTGTGATTTCTCACTTTCTTTCTCTCTCTCTCTTACCTTTCTGTGGCAAGCACATGTGGCATATAGCAAATTAAAACATTAAAACAAGTAAATTTTACAATGTGAAGTTTCTAAAACTAGAAACCAATTTTGGTATAGGTATAGCAGAAGAGAGAAATTTTCCCTTCAGATTTCTAAAATGATCTCTGATATAATTCCACAAAGTTTGCCAGAAAACTCCACAAATACTAGATCTAAACTTTTATTTATTTATTTCTTCCATACACAAGAGAGAGGCAGAGATAGACAGAAAGATATTCATCTCTAACAGAGTCTTCACCCCCAGCTTTGGCTAGTCCCAGACTGTGGGCACGCACATGCGTGGCATGTTCAGGGAGTCCTATGGAGGAACCTGGAGTGTTTTTGTGTCAGTCAGCGTGACACAAAAATTGCATTACTGCTGGGCCACTATGTGGCCCTTCTAGGTCTAACTTTAATCATCATAGGGGTATGTGTGACTTAACTTTTGGAAATTACATTTTACTATCAGATAGGCCTCTTTCCTAATAACAATATAGCCATAAAGCCAAAAAAGAAGAGGCAATATAGAAAATAATGCATACTCACTATTCTTACATAAGGAGACTTCAAAAAGCTTGTAGAAAAGCAGAAATAAGGGGCTGGCAGGTGGCATGGTGGTTGACATGCTGGACTCCCATGATGGCAGACCATAGTTTAAGTCTTGGACCTGGAGGCTTGTTTTCTCACTTTTCCTCTCTCTTTCTTTCTCTCTCTGTGTGTCTCTCTCTAGTAAAATTAAATGAATAAATAAATAAAATTAAATAATTACTTTAAAAGACAAAAATAAGGTACACATGTTATTTTGTTACAGAAAAATTAGAAATCCATGATTGTTTTTTCATAATATGCATTTTCCATGAACTTTTGAAGATCCTCACATTAGAAAGAACTTGAAGCTGATGAAATGAATTAATCCCCACTTTTCCTTGTTGGAATCTGAGTTGAGTTCATTCTATCTCCCTCATTGTAAAACCTCCCCTTATAGTAAACCTTACCATCTTTACCAAGTGTGTGGATAATTAATTTTTTCCTTAATACTACAGAAAGAGAGGGCAAAGAAAGAAAGTACACCCCCACCCCCTGTAAGGGGCTATGGCCACACCACACTCCCTTTTCTTCCATTTTCCTCTTGGCATTTTGGGCACACATACCCAGCATGTTTTCTAAGGTACTGGATCCAGGACTTTAACTACACAGTTGGCCATGTGGGATCAAGCCGCCTTAACTGCAGCACCACCAACTGGCCCTCTCACAATGTAATCTAATTCTCATTATGACACATTATTTCAGCATGTTGAGCATTAAATAAAATAGAACAGAGTCCTTAGTAAACAGTAAGTGCATTTGTCATTGTTAGCATCATTATCATCTTTATTGATTTTGCTCAGAAAGAATGACTCCTCTCCATCCCTATCTTTGGCTTTTATAGACATTTCATAGATGCAAATCATTGCTCATCAATAATCTTCTCCCTTTTTTCTTTACTATAAAATTATTTTCAGGTGTTTTCTCTTCCCCCAGGAAATCCTGGGAATAAATCTTAATTTATCTAACCAACCATACAACCTAACTTTTTAGACGGTAACTAGACAAGGTGTGTACAAATGACTCAATTCTGGCCAGTGAGAGGTGAAGGAGAGGTTTGCAGGGGGGCCTCTGAGCAAAGTTTCCTCATTTTAAAAGAAGAAATAGAAGAAAATACTTTCCATTGCATAATAATGCCTGGGTATAATACCTAGAAGTGTGTCAGTCATCGTGTGACCTTGAGGGAAGCTAACTTGAGGACCAAGTTGACACTGAAATTGGTAGTGGAGAGTAAAAACAGAAACTGACTTTTTATTGGGCTATCGGAAAAGTCATAACATTTTTTTCCCCTGACTTTCTATGCAAAAATGTATCTTTACTTTTCTGACAACACAATAGAAAAAGATTGCTATAGGACACGTATGCTTGCCAGAAGGTGGGAGGGTGAGAACGCACCCCTCGGGGGAAAGCAACGCTGCATTTCCTTTTGCACTTCCTTCTTGGGATTTTGGACACACACACACACATGCACCCAGCATGTTTCACAAGCTGCCAGGTCCAGGACTCAAACTGTACAGTCGGTTATGTGGGATCTAGCCATCTTAACCAGCATGCTGTTGGCTGGTCTGAAGCTGAGTTTTCAAAGATGTCAAGTCTTTGTATTAACTACTTTTGCAACTGTCTTACTTCCTTATTGCCTATGTCATTTTTTAAAAAAAGTATATTTCTGGGACCAGCAGATGGCGTGATGGTTATGTCACTGAACTCCCACATAGTTGACTGTGGTTCAAGTCCTGGACCTGGAGGCTTCAGACTCATACCAGGCGCATGTGCATGTGTCACCAAAATCCCAAGAGGATAATGGAGGAGAAGGGATTAGAATTTGAGTGTCCTCTCTGGGAGGTGATTTCTCACTTTCTATCTGTCTCTGTCTCTCCAGTGAATACATGCGCTCTATAGCAAAAATCTCTCTCTTAAAAAAAACAGAGAGAGAGAGAGGGACCAGCAGGTGGCAAGATGGTTAAGGTGCTGGAATTCTCACATGGCCGACCATGGTTCAAGTCCTGGACCTGGTGGCTTGCTTTCTAACTCTCCCTCTTTCACTTTCTCTGGCATAACTCATGTGAATAATAATAATTAATAATTAAATAAATAAATATTTAGAAAAAGAGAGAGAGAGAAAATGAGAGACAGCTCAACAGGGTCTTGATGCTATGATCACCCCTAGCTCCAGTACGGGCACATGTGTTTCTGGTGTATTCAGGAAGACCTCTGGACGTGAACTTGGGATCACCACCTCCCCTTATGACTCAGCTTAATAGAACACCACATTTTACTATTGTCCAACAATCTGGCCCTCTTTTTAGTGGAATTTTCTGTTATTTGCTGACATTAGCAAATAATATTTCTAAAATAATATTTCTAAATTAATGTTTAGAAAGAGGACTAATGAATAGGGGGACCAACCGGTGGTGTGGTGGTCAAGGCATTGGACTCCCATGTGGCCAACTGTGGTTTGATTCCCAGACCTGGTAGCTTGCTTTCTCACATTCCCTCTCTCTCTCTGGTCAAATTAAAAAATAAATAATAAATAAAATTGAATAAAATAATTCTTTAGAAAAAAGAACTAATGATTAAGAATCATAGAGAACTATATAGAATCTATGAGAAAATGGCTATTCTCACAAGATTAGCAGAATACTTTAGAGATATCAATCAGGAATGTAGGTATGAGAGCACAAGATAACTTTTCACCTAGAGACACGAATTTTTGTGTCTCCCATCACATAGTTTCATTTAATTCAGTTGGGTGTTTCCTTTAAGAATATTTCAGTAAATAAAAATCTCTACCGAATTTAGTAATTTGCACTTGAAAAATATTATTTTTTTAATGACGAGGTTGTAAATTTTCACTAGTTCAAAATAATAAATGTGTTATAGCGTACTTGTGTTGAAATTCCTTCTCTCGCTTCAGGTCTTCATTATGTTTCTGTATTCGTTTTTCCCACACTTCCTTTACAGCATTGACAGCCCCTGCACACATCACATTTTCTGTCATGATTTCTCCACATTGTCATGGAATCACCAACTTCATTAGGTTCTGAATAGCTGGATTACAGACATCATCCCAGAAAGGACCTAATTGTACCAAAGAAAAAAAAAGCAATGTATTTCAGAATGTTCATTGTGTACCACAGTGCCCAAAATAGCTAATATTTATTGAACACTTCTCATATGCCCCCATATATTTCATATACTTTACATTCCATGTCTCATTTTAAAATCTTCTTAAACTACAAGATAGTACTTTTATTGTCTCTGATTTATAATGGAAAAATGGAGCCTTCCAGATGAGCAATTTCCTGAAGGCCTCATATCTAGTAGTACATGGTACAGGTGGGAATTGATGCCAGTCTACTTGTTACTATGCAACAGTGAAAAACTACAACTAGCTTGCCTGTTCACTTAAAGGAAAATGGTTAAATAATGGATATATACTGATACAATAACACTGGCATCTTGGGATATCTATTTAATCTGGTTGCCATATATATAAGCTGGAATTCAGTTAAGTGGCAATATATAATGATTGGCAACTCTTTTATAAAATAAATTGCAAATAGATGCAATGTTGAAGATTCTGACCTGAATTTCAGAAATGATACAAAAACACTCAATAACAAGAAAATGGTTATTTAAGTTAGGGAAGATCCATTTGATGGAAAGTCCAACGGCCTTATAAATAATGTTATTGACATTTTCTTTTTAAGAGAAATTTTTGCTGTAGGGCACGTGAACTCACTGGAGAGACAGAGAGAGACAGAAAGATAGAAAGCGAGAAATCACCTCCGGGGGTCGGGGTGGTGGTGGCCATGGTACAGGGGAGATGGCCATGCTGCAATCCCTTCTCCTCCAGTCTCCTTTCAGGATTTTGGGCACGCCTGCACATGCACCCAGTGTGAGTTTTATGCCTCCGGGTCCAGGACTCAAACTGTGGTCAACTACATGGGAGTCCAGCAATGTAACCATTATGCCATTTGCTAGTTCCAATGGTATTGACTTTTTTAAAAGAGAATTATTTTGTTTTAACTTTATTTATTATTATTTTCCAGTTGGTCCAGAGAGAGAGGGAAAGTGAGAAAGGAAGCTACCAGGTCCAGGGCTTAAGCCATGGTTGGCCATGTGGGAGTCCAGCACCTTTAACCAGCAAGCCGCCTGCCTGCCCTGGTATTGACTTTTAATGAAATAGCAAAATCAGATAATTTGATTCACAGTTGTATGAATTATTTCCTCCTAAATTCAGGAAGACAAAGACGTCCACAGTTACCATTTCAACTCAGCATTACACTGGAAAACTATAATGCAGGATGAATAAACATTGGGTCATCAGAAAAGTCATGCAAAAATCAATTTTTCTATGCAAAAATACGCCATGACTTTTCCAATGACCCAATAGAGAGGTACAAAATTGGAAAAGGAAAAAGTAAAATTTGTGGAGGCATAGGGAAACAGGCACTCTCACACACTAGTGGTGGTAATGTATACTGTTATAGTCTCTACAAAGAGAAATTTGGTACTATCTATCAAAATCAGAAATGTATGTTCACACTTCTAGGAATTTATACTGTAAATATTTTCTTTTCTTTTTTCTTTTTCTTTGATATATATATATATATTATTTTTTTAGAGAGAGAGAGAGATTTTTGCCATAGGATACAGGCACTCGACAGAGAGACAGAGAGAGGCAGACAGAAAGCGAGAAATCAACCCCCCATGGGGGATGGCCATGCTGCAAATCCCTTTTCCTACATTATTCTCTCAGGATTTGGGGCACATACACACACAAGCCTGGCATGATTTTAAGTCTCTGGATCAGGGACTTTAACCATGGTTGACTACATGTGAGCCCAGTGATGTTAACCATTGTGCCATCTGCTACTCTTACTGAAAATATTTTCTTTTTTTTTAGAGAGATTTTTGCCATAGGGCACATGTACTTGCCAGAGAGACAGAAAGCAAGAGATCACCCCATGCCCCCGGGGGGGATGAACACACTGCAAATTTCTTCTCCTCCATTCTCTTCTCAGGATCTTGGGCATACATGCACACACAAACACACACACACACACAAACACATACCTACACACACACGGCATGACTTTCAAGCTGCTAGGTCCAGGACTTGAACTGCAGTAGATTACTTGAGGGTCCAGCAACGTTACCATTATGCCATCTGCTGGTACCCCATTGCAAATACTTTCTTTTTAAAAAATCATTTTTATTTATTCATTCTTTTATTTTAATTTGACCAGAGAGAGACACAGGAAGAGAGAGAGGGAAAGTGATAAAGCAAGCCACCAGGTCCGGGACTCAAACCATGGTTATCCATGTGGGAATGTCCAGTGTCTTAACCACCATGCCACCTGCTAGTCCCCCCACTGCAAATATTTTCTAATGTGTATAGACCTATTACAAAGTTTTTTGTAACAGTGCTTTTTGTAATACCAAAATAAAAATTGAAAATACACTTCTGGTGCTGTGGTGGTTAGGGTGCTGGACTCCCACACAGTCAACTGCAGTTCGAGTCCTGGACCTGGAGGATTGAAAATCACACTGGGCCCATGTGCATGGATGATCAAAATCCCAGGAGGAGAACAGAGGAGAAGGGATTTGGGTGTGGCCATCACCCCCAGGATGGATATGTCTCATTTTCCCTCTTACTGTCTCTGGTGAGTGCACGCGCCTTATGGCAAAAACCCAACAAAGAAAGAGAGAGGAATACACTTCTAAATAACCTATGGTCAAAGTTGTAATCAGATGATCAAAATGTTGGCTCTACATAAAACAGTAAGTACACAGTTATTTTACTGTAAAGGCTATGTATTGGTCTTCAACTTTTGAACTGAATAAGTCAACCTATAAAAAAGTAAGGAAGACTGGGCTGGCTCCATGGCACAGCAGTTATGTGCTGCTCCAGAAACGCTGGATCCCATGCGACAAAGATAGTTTGAATCCTCAGCCAAGTCAGCCCAAAAACATGCCAGGCATGCACATAAGTGCTCAGTACCTGACAATCTGTAGGAAAGGGATTGTAGTATGACCAGATCCGGGGAAGACATTTCTCTCTCTCTCCTGTACACATGCATGTAAAGCAAGGGAGACTTATTTTTGGTTATGAACAAAATATAAATGTCACACATCTTGAAAATAGAAAAATAAAAGTACTTTTAATAGAATATGGAACAAAAAAATGGGGAAGAGAAGTAGGGAATAGGAACATCAGTATCTACATCTTCAAAGTGGGTAGTCAAAAGATACTGTCTATACCTCATAGGACAAAAGGTAGAGATTTATGTATTTGTTTAAAGTTGTAAAGGTAATCAAGACAGAAACTAAAATAGGGGTATAACCCCTGGAGTGTAAGGGAAATTAATCATCATCTTTATAACAAATCTCCATAATGCCAGAGGTCGATTTTTTAAAAAATGGAATATATTGCTTCCAAAAACAAATGAAGGAAATATTGTGATAACCATTGAAACATAAATCCCCAAATGGTTAAATGGTTACTTCTAGAGAGCAAAATTCGTGATAGAGAGGAATAAAGAATATTGCTTTTTGTTATTAATATCTTCTGAATTATCAGTTTTTCTACATTAAAATTATGCAGTGTATATATATCAGAGACAGAAGAAGGCAAAGAATCATATTACAGAAGAAAGAAGTTCAAAATATCAGCATTGATATGTAATTGGCATTATGTAGATAATTGTCAGGAGCTGACCCCTATTTCTAAGCAATGTATGCAGAATTTACTCAGAAATAGATGTGAGATCTCTTTGCCATCAAGAAACCTTGGAATACAGATGCTGGCAGCCTGACTACCCAGGCATATGTCAACCTGAATTTAGCAAGTTTGAAGTACTCAAATACTCCAAATAATCAATTTCAAGTAATAAATTTTTTTTAATTTCAAGTACAGTATGAAAATGTCACACATATATAGATGAGTATATATTATATATTTCTCCAGGCATATGTAACCATTCATTCATTTGCTAGTTCATTTCCTTAGTTGCCATTAAATCTTGGTCATCCATCAGTTTCCCT